AGCGATATCAATTTATATGTTCGGTATCGTTTTATGTTTCATGACATCACTATTTATATGCTCTGATGTAATTTGGTAAATTAAAACAAAAACAAAAAAAACCCTAGTTAATGTGTCAAAATGTACATAATACATGTACTACTAACACGATCAAACCTGAAGTAGCTATATGCAACATCCGGCGTCAGAGTAGATACATTTTTTATAAAAACATTTGACTCCTGTGACTTATAATACATATGGCAAGTCAGCTTAAGTTAAAATACAACTAGTGAACAAATTTCTCCAATAATGTAAATGTGAAAGTTGTGTATTAAGTGTAAGGGATTAAATAATTTTGAGTTGGATCAGTAAAGTTGGGTATAAAAATAATGTGCTAAAAGCTGAAGACAATGTTGATCATAGGTTGTCTGTAATTAACTTTATCTTTCTTTCAGATCAGACAGCAGAAAAGGAAAATTATTAGAGGATGAAGTTTATAAGATAAGGAGGAAAATTAGACGACTTGAGGATCTTACAGCCAAGATGGAATATACATTAAAAAGTGACTGATGCAGCAATGTTAAAGATCCATACAGTAATCAAATGAACAGCTTAAGTTGCAGATGGAGACATTCAGTAGTGACAATAGGTGGAGTTTCATTAAATTAAAATTAGGCCCTGACTGTCTTCACAAAAAATAGTTATCTGACAGGTGGGGGTGGGGATCCAGGTTTTCAGGAGACACCCCAGTGGAATTAGCTCCATGACAATCACAGATAAATATGTTTCAGCAGTTGATTGAATGCAACTGTCCCATTATCTCTTGAACAATGTTCAAAGAAAAATTACAAAACATACAGAAAGTGTTGCTAAGAATAAAAAAGGAATATCGCTTAATGTCAGTTTACATGTTCTTTGATGCATATTAGAAATTTATCTGAAATTAAATACTGCTTTTTAAGATAATATGTTGCATTTTATACTGTTTTAAAAACCCCACATCTAAGGTTATTTTATGATTCAGGATGAAATAGGTATTTGTGAGTTTGTCAGATAATCAATTTTTTTTTAGGAACTGTTCATGAAGTCATAAAAAATGAGGAACATTGTTCATCATAGTTCATGAATATGTTCATTTACTGTGATGAATGATGATAAACCAGTTAGTGAACTTTTATGAACTGTTTATGAATTCAGTTCATGAAGTTTGTGAATGTTCAAGAACAGTTTGTAACGTTATGGTTCATGAACATTCATGAATTCATTTAATTTCATGAATTGACCATTTTCAGTTCATGCACATTCATGAATGGTTCATGAACCTTCTGATGAACTTTCAGGAATGGTTCATGAACAGATTCATGAACCGTTCAAGAACTGTTCATGCCAGTTCATGAATTATTCATAATAATTTCATAGGGAATGGCCATCAATTTTTTTAAAGATATTTCTTTCTCTTCTCCATTATGCTTTTATGGACAATTCTCCCATGGCAAGAATAGACACACATGCTGCCAGATCCAAACCTTTACTGATTGACCACTCATCTTGAATAGAACAGTTGTTTCTTGTGACCTTTGACCTATTAGACCATCAATCTCTAAGGATATTCCTTCCCCCTCCCTCAAAACTGAGAAGATGATTACCTAATGAAAACTGGAAACAATTTTAACCCCCAAAGTTGATGCCAGGAAAAAAGGAGAACACTGCTGCCAATAAGTCTTGCCTTTTGTAACATTCATCACAGGCAATACCAAAAGGTTAAAATTACAAAAAAAAGACTATTAAAATTAAACTCTCAGTAAACCTAAATTATCCTTGCGGCTGAAGATGATGATGATAATGATTACTGAATAATGATAACAGCAATAACATACCTGTCATCTTTGTGAGAGTCACCAATGTCACCATCCCTGACCAATGTTCAAGTGACCATCCCTGACCAAAATTCAAGTGAACATCCCTGACCAATGATCATCGCTGACTAGAACTGTCTTAAATGCCAACAGGATCATAGTTCATTTAATCCTTTCACTGAGAGTGAATACTAAGTCCTTTAAATTGTATTTAAAATAACTTATGAAATCACCTGATATAAAAGGATACTGATGCGAAATAATGAAATAATTGTAGACAACAAAATAAATAGTCAAATAGATGATGGATGGAACAAAGAATAAAGTGTGACAGCATTATAATTACAGTGTGACCCTGCTATAGCACGGTCTGTTATAACATGATTTCAGATATAATGTGGTTGTGGTGTGGCTCCTAAAATTTCAAATACATGTTTCTCATACATAAAAAATTTTTTTTGTGAAGAGATAACATATGAACAATATAAAATGAGCGTGGCATGGCTCCTGAATCTTTATATGTATTTTTTACATACACAATTTAAAACATTTATTCTTGGATCGCATTGGGCTTTGCCAATATCTCAAACTTCATATATTTTTTTCTTATGGGTGGCAAAATATACCATCTGGCAATTTTCTTTTTAGTGGCAACATTGCTGGTTTTTAAACTTGTATATACAACCATTGGTTTGGAGTGGAGAAATTCAGAGTCTCCATGAAAGGAAGCTGCAAACTAAATATACAATGTACTGAAATTTATCTATTGTTACATGTCGTTGTTGTTGGGCTTAACGCCATTTTTCAGCACACGATAGGCTATTCATGGCAGCCAGTATTAATGGTGGAGGAAGAAACCGGGAAATCACCGAAAAGAACCACAGACCCACGAGAAGCTACTGGCAAGCTTTCTCACATATCCACATTCGACGAATCCTAGACTCGAACCCACGCAGACAGAGGTGAGATGGCAGTTATCTGTAACGGACAGCGCTTTAGACCACTTGGCCCCTCTCTATTGTTACATAAACAACAACAAAAACATTGTCCATATTGACCATCAATTTAACTGTGCATTGTTATATCATAATTCGCTTATCTTGACATCTAGCATGAGTACTGTATGTTATGAGATATCTGTTTTATTGTTGACATTTCTGGCAACTGAGATTAACTGGACATGGCATTATTTCGTAATCTATCTTTTGTCAGATTTTCAGCCACTTGCAAATAATTAATATATTTACACAGATTGACATTTGTATATGGATGGTAAGTAAAATTTATTTTTTTCACTCAGAATTAAATCCTTCAGCACACACATTTTCTGTAGTAATCCCTGTCATTAGACCAGAACACCTGCATCTCTATCATCCATTGACCCTTTGTTAAATTTCTGACACATGCATGGAAGGCAGCATAACTCCGCTACCACAAATGCAAAGAAAACCTCGCCCCCCCCTCAAGACCCCAAAATAACAGCTTCCTTGTTGGTCTATTCAACAGACCAAATGATGGCCAATTCCTTTTTACAAATGTACCCAGACAAAATAGTTTGCTGAAATTTCAAAGGAAACAGATTACCAATGAAGGACCAATTGTTATGAAAATGCACTAAGCAAACGGAATAAAAATCAGTCTCAATCATGCAAAATGATTATTTGAAGATGCTGCCAAAATAAGAAATGGGCATTTGTTTGGTTCTCCAAAGGTGTCTATTAGCAGTGATTGGAATATGTTTACTTTGCTGAGAAAGTTTCCTTTTTGCAAGGAAAAAGTTTATGCTTACGAACGCTACCAATGGCAATTTAAAACACAAACCAACTTTTACCGACTTGGGTCATACTGAAAAGTAAATGTGTGTTGTATTCATTACATAATTGTATTGTTTTTTTCCACTGAATTCAGACCTTTATGACCTGTGACAAAATTACTGAATATTTTAAATCTCTTATGTGTGTATTTTCAATGGAATTACTTGTATTGTGGATTCGATGTGAAGAGATTAATGGGTGAGTACATGGTATTGATACTCTATTCATGCTATACATTAGAGATGTAGATATGAACAGTATACACATATATCTACCCATTTGTGGTTATATAATAAAGTAAAATATTATATATGCCTTCTTTTTCACAACAGGTGTATTCTCATTTAGTATGCATTGATTTAATATGATGAAGCACATATTTTACCACCTACATTTATTACACACACTCACACACATTTTTGGGGGTACATGTATCATTTACTTCAGCTAACTGACCTGGTTGCTTATAACACCGTTTGATTTATAACATGGTCAGGTTCTATGGGTACCAACTACCATGTTATAGTGGGGTCACACTGCAAATGATTGTGTGCTTTGCCATATATATATATATATATATATATATATATATATATATATATATATATATATATATATATATATATATATATATATATATAACTTCCTAATGATGGGGGTATTTTAGGCACAATAAATACCAATCCTCTTACCTGCAAATTTGACATGGATTTTGTTCTCGGGTTTAAAGAGCTGGATGTACTGTTTACATTTAGGAGCAAAATCCTTGACGGCCCATGATCTTAGAATTGTATGGTGATCCTGGAAATTCAAGAAAGAAGCATTATTGACTGAATCAAAGCCATGTGCAGATCAATAAATATTGTCCACAAATAGTCACTTTTGGTCACTAAATGTTTGGTTATTGAGTTTTCACTTGTAGTCTCAACAAATTTGGTCCACAATTAGTCACTTTTAGTCAAAACAAATCTGGTTGATGAGTAGCCACCTTTAGTGACAACAAATCCAGTCCATGAGAAGTCAATTTTAGTCACAATAAATTTGGTCCATGAGAACTCATTTTTAGTCACAACAAATCAGGACAATGACTAGTCACTTTTAGTCATAACGAATCTGGTCCATGAATAGTCACTTTCAGTCACAACAAATTTGGACCATGAGTAGTAATTTTTAGTCACAACAAATCTGATCAATGAGTAGTCATTTTTACTCCAACAAATTTAGTCCATGAGTAGTCACTTTTATGTGACATGTTGAAAAATATTAACTTGGTTTGTGGGTTATGGTTCCAAGGCAGCTGAGGTAAAATGCCTTGTCCAAGAATGCACCACTGCAGCTGACCCAGGTTCATCCACTGTTAGGATTTGAACCAGACACCCTCTCAGTCACAAGTCAAGTGCACTAACCACTGCGCTAACAGCATCCATTAGCTGCCTCTTGGGACTTATGTGGGGGGGGGGCATCAGGCTTATTCTACAAGCCTGAAGATGTTGACATGAATTTATCAATGCAGCCCAGTTTTCATGTATGCTCAATGAATATCATGATATTAAAAATAATATAGCTCTGACAAGGTCATGATCAATTTTCTTATATGAAAATATTTGTCCATGAACAAGTTTATTTTGAAGAACAGTTGTAAAGTTTCAAAACCACTTATGTATGTTTTGTAATTTGTTTTAAAAAAAATTGAAAGCAAAACAAACAAGTCAAATCTTTTAAATTAGTCTGAAGCATTCATATTTAATGGCAATCCATTCAATTTCAGGGTTTTGTAAAACAACAAAAATATCAAATTGTCTGTGTGAAATAGTTAAACATGACTTGTATGTCAGTTTTGAAAGCCACTTATCAAAGGGCAAGGACCTAGATAAAACTACTTAAAACAATCAAGTGAACAAGCCTGAGGGTCACATGACTGAAATACCAGATTTAAAAGCCACTTGTTGAAAGGTCATTGACCTCTTGATAATCAACTTGTCCCTTGGTAACACTACTTGAAACTATCAAGTGAACAATCTCAAGATTTGTATGCCAGATTTAAAATCCAACAGTGCAAAGGTCACGCTCGTTTGACAAGCAATCTGTTTCTTCATAAAACAACTTGATAGAATCAGGTGAGCAAGCCTGAATGTCAAACCTTGAAAATCTAAACAAAATAGTGTTTAAAATCTGATTCTGTGATTATACAGAAAAGTCAAAGTTAATATTCTTTCAGCTGATCTTCCCATGTCTTGCTAGTTTTATTTATACAAGTAAATTACATGAGTAGCAATATGAATTTTTGAGTTTGATGGAGAAGATTAAACAGTCATAAAAGACATACATTTCGCAAAAAATGTAACTTTCTTTAGCACAAAATTGCCTTATATGGGTGCCCCAATTATGACAGTAATATTCACTATTGAAAGATGTATGAATGGGAATTAAAAGCATTGTAAAGAGACTGGCCATGACAGTTTATTCAAGCATGTCTGGACAAGATCTGAACCCTGCATCCATGGGATGTTAGTCTTAGGTAATGACTAACTCTCTATATGAAACATGGAAACATTACATCAGGCCAAAAAAAAAATCAACAAGCTAAGTTTTATCATAAAAACATTTTTTTTATGAATCTCGGCATAAAGGAGTTAAAAACACAGAGAATGTAAGAAAAAAAGAGCTGAAATAAAATTATCACTCAAGCATGAAAAATATGACACAGGGAACTAGTTTTGGTACAGCTGAGTACTTCTAACAAGATGCATCCAAGTAGCAAATTTTATAATTTTGGATTAAATAGGGACCAAAACACAGAGTGTGTATTAAACAAGTAGCTGAATACAAAAAAAAAAACAGACTTGTAAAACATGAACATTAGGCCTGGTATGGTTGAGTAAACTCATTATCCCCCATGTCATGCTTGCATGTAATGAGGTAGTACCCCACTTCTATGGGCTGTGATGTCAATATCATTTAAGGCAAAGCAAGGCAGGTAGTATTTGAGAAAAGGAGAAAAATGCAGTTATACAATAATACCAAATAATGAGGACTTTCTACTCACCTTAAATAATACAGCAGCAAAAACAGAATTTTCAAGATCCAATTTTTAAGGCCAAAAATACACACTCCGGAAGTGGTGTTTCTGTCAGGATTTTAGACTTTTTGGCTTTAAATCTAAAGCAGACTGGTCTGAACTGCACATGCGAGAGATGACTTAGCAAAAAGTAGGATAAGTTTGAGATTTGGAGTAAAAGAAAGGGGGAAATGACATGTCTCAGATACACACGGAAGACAATATGTTATCTTCAAAATGGAGGAAATAATGTAATTTCCTCATGCAAAGAAAATTTCATCTAGAACAAATTTGGGCATGGGAATAAGGTTGAATACCAACAAAATCTATCACATTTTACTTCCTGCATATACAAAAGACAGCCACACATATTTGTATTTTTTTAGTGAAGAAGCAAAACTACTGACTACAACCAGTCCTATTCTGCAATTTTTTTTTAGCTTACACAAGCAAGGTGATAAACTTCAGTAATTTGAAATCTGCCCCATAGCTCATTCTATGATAATTTCATCAGCACCTTCATTTACTGGTTAAATATCTCTGCATAAAAATGAGAGATTCCATATTTGTTCCCCATGTACAATTTAAGGAGAGATGATGACATGATTTTATCTTAATCAAAGAAAAATGGAGGGGGAGGATGAAGCGGTCATAGGTCGATATTTATCTAAATTTCAATACATGTTTCTCTTTTTTCCTGCTGTACATTATTAGAGCTCCACTGAAATCAACATCTCTGACAGATATTTAATCTGTTAATTATTTCTGAGCATACTCTGCTCTTTTTGTTTGTACGAGTATTGTTCTGTGCTTCTTTCTGAAGGGGCATATACATAGCTAGCTTTGTCAGCTTGTATATGTTGAGAAATTGATCTTTGTGACTTATATACAATTTTCCAGAGCTCACATATATTATTGTTTGGATACATCTGCTCCAAAATACGATTTGTTTTCTAACATAAACTTCCTTTTGTTAAATCAGTAGTTTACAGACTACTATGTTAAAGTTCCTATCTGTTCCACGATGCTGTGTAAGGGTACTTAGACCTTCAATGTTTGTGCAGACAAAGGTATTAACTCTTTACCTCAGAGTATATGTCTTTTTTGCCCTTCAATATACATGTAGCAAAGTTACCCAGTGCAGTGCGCTATTAAAAGAACACATGTTACCTATTTGACTCCATACACATAGGCCTGCCTGTTAACTGTTAAGCAGTGTAGTGTATGTTACTTTTAACAGCAATTTTAACCATTTTACATTTTTAGTACATATATATTATGTACGGTAAGGTTTAAGTGTAAAATTAGATCATTATAGCTGTATGATTTATTTCATGGAAGAATTTTTTATGCACTTTAGAAGCTTGAGAGAACTCATTCACTGTCAAGTCAGTGAAGCCGCGTGACCAACCGTAGCTGCCATTTCTCATATTCAAAATTTACAAGCTCTTTGCATCTACATCACTAAATCATCAGAATTTGATAATTTATAAAAATTAATTGCTGCCTTTACCCAAGTTATTAGAGCTTTCATAGCTGTGATTCTAATTCTGAAAACTGAAGTAAATACTGAAAAAAGTCTGTGACTGACATTTTGGAGCGTGGAGAATACGAATGAGTTACTTTAAATAGCAAATATTGACCAGAGCATTAAGAGTGACCATATGATATGATGCAATGGTCATTCATATGAATGAATGTAGTATCTAATAGGGAGGTTTCCCTGAAGGTGGCACTATGAAGACCCACATAAAATGGCTGATGTTTACAGCAGGCATCGAAAGGCGCTTCCATGAGAATGGTGCAGAGACATCAAAAATTGCTGATATGTGAATGGGGAAAAGCTGTCAAAAGGTACTTACATGTGAATGGGGAAGAGGCTTCAAAAGGCGCTTCCAACGTTAAGTTTAAATTTGTTCATGTTATTTACTAAAAGAAACATACATCAAATTTTGCCTATTTTTTTTCCAGCCCTGGATAAAATCTTTCTATAATGCGCTTTGTCCAACACCCCTGGTTATTATTATGAATCTTCATCTAAAAGTTTACAGTTGACGCTCACTATCTCTCTCAAAAAGTAATTAATTGATTCTCTATTTTATATCTTTATTTGACATTTAACTGTACTGATGTTGAAATCACTCCTTCTGAATGTACCCACTCTGCATAGCCCCTACCTTCAATCTCCATCTTTTACAATGCATTCCCTCCTTATCTGTGTTATTCTCATGTTTTAATTTTTCTCAGTCCAGTTTTTTCACCAACAACCTGAATCACTCTATACCTCTCCCCTTACCCTCTCAGGCAAGAAATTAACACATTCATTGCCAAAGATACCCATTTTAAAATCAAACAAAATTTTCATCATGCATTTGTCACTTAAAATTCATCAATTCCAATGACTAACAACCAAGCATGTTGTCAGCTTTTGTATCTAAAAAGTTGGGTGACTTTTTTGAGTATATCATATTCATAAGATCAAGGATTGTGTTTATAATTCTTAATTTTTTTAATGATAAAGAAATAGTAATTCTCCAGCTTCAGATGCCATTGCAATGTGAGTCTGTGGGAAAGTGGAGAAGCTTTATCCTCTTTGTGCTCTATATACACCCCACTGTGACATGTATAGAAATGAAATTTCTTGCAAGCTATACTAAAGGTTAAACAGAGTAAAAGATATTGACAACATAATGTTTATAAACTGCATAACAGCTGAAATGCTTGATGCAGTACATGAGACTCATAACCCACAGGTCATAGGTTCAATACCCACCCAGGCAACATGGAATGGCTGCCTCAACGTGTTCTTAGGAAAGGTACATTCCCATTTCTTGGCATGATATGACCAACAACATATTAGTAGCACTTTTAAAACGAACAAAAATAAAAAACAAAACTGAAAATGGTCATAAATGAAACAAAGGTGACCTACCTTGATTATGACTGAGCTACCTGGAGATGCACACAACAAAGTTTGATGAATTTTAAATGTAACCATGTCAGAGATATTAAGGATGCAAGAAAAAAAAACTGTTGAAAATACAAGTCATTTGAGTGTGAATAATAAGTTATATTGACCTGCTTTTAGCATGGGCAATTTACTGTTATTCCAATGTATCCCCATGAAGATATGCTTAGTAGAGTCCAATATATTTAGAGTAATGAACAAACAAATACAGAAGCCATTTAAGCATGAATAATAGGTTAGGGTTACTCAAATTTTCATGGTTTAAATATTTGCTCGAGATACAACCATATGCTAGTTTATGAGTGTCAGTGTTGGTGAAATAGGGACGAAAGATACTGATGATATGACAAAAGCATAATGAATGAATGAATGAATGAATGAATGAATGAATGAATGA